TGTAACATTAAGGAGAATCTATTGGCAGAAATGGAATATAATATTCATTGGTATGTTTTCATTAGTGTATAATCACCTGAAAATAAAAATTGTTGTGTTTTCGTTACTGTACACTGATTTTTATCTACAGAGGGAGCAGGTCATCATGTTACCTCAATCAATCCTACAAACTGGACCATCAAGGGATTACATTTTATTTAATGAGGGCACTGATCCAGATCTACCTAATTTCTCTCATATACATGTATATATGTATATACATATATATCAAATGGAGTAAATAAATCCCTACAATTGTTTAAAGGACCAGTGTGTAGGATTTAGTGGCATCTAGCGATGTAGTTGCAGATTGCAACTCCCTCACTTCACCCTCTGCTTCTAAGCGTGAAAGAGAAACTATGTGAACGACCCAGCTAGAGCCAGTGTTTGGTTTGTTTATTCTGAGCTACTGTAGAAACATGGCAGTTCAACATGGCATCCTCCACTGAATCTACAGCATGAGTGGGACACCATGCTGTAGATAAAAACGGCTCATTCTAGAGTAACAAAAACATAAGAAACCTTATTTATATACATGCAGTGATTATACACTAATGAATGAATATTATATTCCATTTCTGCCAATAGATCCTCCTAAATATTACACAGTAGACCTTTAATGTAGCTGGACGTGAGCATTGCTGATTGAATCTTCTGAAAATCCCTTAATTTGTTTTGGTTTCTTCTCATATTTTTCCTGACCCACTGTTAGCGTGCTGTTGAATGAGGTATACAGGACTCCAAGCACACTTTGTATCTTTGACATGTCATGATTTTGTTAAAAAGCGGAACACAACTACAATCACAGTGCACCTTAACAATCTTACCTGCTGGGCAGTGGTTGGTTCTGTGTTCAGTGAGCTCAGCCAGACAGTCGAAGTCCTGCTGACAGTTGTCACAGGTGAAGATGGACTCGTCATCTAGATCGTCGTCGTGATCTCTGTCATCGCGGTCATCGTGCTCCTCATGCTCTCCATCCTCAGCACCCGGCCCGTGACCGTCTTTGGGCTCTACCTCTCTGTCAGACGCCGGGACTTCTGAGGAGACACGCAACACACAAATCTGTCAGTTCTAAAGCTAATGTACACAAGTTTGTTTTTCATTACCAGTTGCAAGTTTTCCAGAAAGCTTTCCACAATGCTTATCGTTACTTTCCACTTTACAGAGCGGCTCGGATTCTTTTCAGGGAAATATATTAAGTCTTCTTCATATTCTCTGAACAATCATAACTGGATGCATTCTGATAAGACAACATGTGATGTACTGCCGGATCTGTTTTTGTTGTTGTTAAGACTATTGACCTTGTAACACCCAAGTTAATTTTTCTTTGTTATTTCAGCTTGTGACACCAGCTTTATCTTGCCTTATTTAACAACAATCTCATTGACATATTCCCTGCTCTCATCCAATTCATTTATGCTTTTTCAGTTTGGATTTGGTTTGTTTTTATACTGCACAAATAATATTTATTAACCTCTGTTTTATCAATTATATGTGCAACTTGACTGAGTGTGTGTGAACCGTAACTCCAGCATGTGACCGAGCGTGTGTGTGTGAATGTGTGTGTCCTGGTAGCAGACAGGCAGAGTGTGAGAGGGGACCAGTGGAAGGCTGTGCCGGCCCAATCCTCACTGCTCCATTGTGTCTCCATTTTCACACCTTATTATCACATTATAAATGCCGAGGATCCAATAGGACTGACACTGAAGACGCCGGCGAGGAGAGGAGAGGAGAGGAGAGGAGAGGCGAGGAGAGGAGAGTGCTACCAGAAGGAAAGGAAAGATAAAAACAAAAAGTGAGAGGAAAAGATGGTTGGGAGAACAATATGGAGCGGAAACATGAATGAGATGTATTTTTATGGCTACAGATGCAGTGAAGGAAACACATTATTTGCTCAATCACATTGAGAGTAACCCAATATAAACACATGCAGCCCAATCTGCTACTGCGAGTGTCAAAAAAACCTGAAAAAAGGTTTGCAAAGGATTCACTGCAGGCTATTGCATTTGATTGATTGTTGATGCACCTAATAAAGAGGTAACTCAGTAAAGTTAAATCTCTGCTACTGAATTTGAAGTGCTGGCTATTACAGGGAATCAATAACCTCCATTACTTTTAATGAAAGATTGACTTCCTTTAGCGAGTGCAGTGGCGGGTCAAAAAGGCTTCATTCAGTTTTGCCCATTAACATCTTCCAACAGCATGTTAAACATGTAAGCAGCAGAAAATGTAGCTCTCTATTTTGATATTCTTCACGTTAGTGTCACTTTTATTTGCGCCATAGCAGCACATAGCTGAAACAACTGCTGTAACTCATCAACAGGCCGCCATATTGTTTTTGCTGTGAAGAGCACTATAGTTGGGTAAGCTGGGTCGCGTGTATTGAGAGGAGAGCTTTATTAACTGTGTACCACTCTTAGGAACAGTCATAACTTTATAACACAGCCATTAATAACTCACAACTAACTCAGGGCAAAACATGATGGCATGACTGTTTCTTACTTGATCATTTATTATTTATGTATTATGATCATTTAACCTAAATATTCTTTAATAAAGTTATTTGTTCAAGAAAGCAGCCTTCTGAGAACCTTTGCGTAGTCAATTTTCACTATATCAGCATAAGCATGTGTCACATTTGGCTTTACAGGAAGACAAAATTATTGGATTCTGATATAAAAATATATATAGAAATTGTTCATTTTTTGGCATAAATTGTTAAATAGTGGTACAATATGAGTGGGGTTGCTATCTTAAAGGGTTAAACGGCATTTCTAATTTCCATCTGGCAAAAAAAAATCTATATTATATATTGTATCATGTTGTGGGGCCAAGAAAAAGCTATAGTAATCAAAGCCTTTAGTATATACATGCTGACATTAAAGTGGTTTTATATTCTATGTACTCCTGACAGTAGAAAAGCTATAGAAAAAGGCCCAGTCATGCAAAAAAACACACATAAATAGAAAGTTTTGGTCATGCCGCCCAGCACAACTCCTCTTCATTTAAATGATTTAGTTGTTAGAAAGGTTCCGATACAATCACAAACCATTCCCCTGATTTTCCACGTGATCGCTTCAGGTCCGTTAAAACAAAAGTCAAAAGAGCAACAACAGCTTCGAGTTGAAGAGAGAAAGAGAGAAAGAGAGAAAGAGTTAGTGAGCGAAAGCGAGTGAGGTGCACACGCTCCGACCCACTCTGATTATTATGGGAGAGGTGTGATGGGAGAGAGGGATGCTGGGAGGCGGGGACCGAGGGATTGAGGTGATGTGGTGTTTGGGGGGGCTGCAGGAGAGGAAGACAGCCATAGAAGGAGGGATGGATGAAGGGATGGTGAAGAAGAGAGGGAGGGTGTTGGCCATCTGTCCAGTGGTGAGACGCCGTCTGGCCTGGGAGAGAAAGTTGCCCCCTTTGGCTGACAAAGCACACGCACTCTCACATACACACACATCGCATGTATGCACACGTATGTGCTGGTCGCTGTGCACACCAACACAAACATATAGGTACATGTGCAAACACACACAGATGTGCACACACACACAC